GTTCAACTCGGTCAGGTTTTCTACCAATTTTGAATTAATTGCTTCATGTCAATAAGTTATTGTTTCTATTCCGTTACATATTTTTTTACTTTTTTTCAGGAAAATCAGAGAGTCGGATAGTCAACGAAGGTTTTAAGAATGATGGAAAGTTTGAAACTCCTGGGAAAACAGGCAAGGCCGACCAAAGAAAAAAATGGTCAAATAAAGAACCATGGCCAGATGCTTTTAGTGAAGATACCTATCACTAATTTTACTAATTGCACATTTACAAATTGTATCTTTTTTTTAGTATTATTTTCTTAACAAGTGTGTTAAAAAACGTCGTATGATGATACTTGTGTGTATTGATGATTACCTAACGGCTCTGGTCTCAATGGCACCTCAGCGGTAATCACCAACATTACACACTTTTACACTATAAAGTACTATTTTATCTATAATAATTTTATTCTGATTCAATTAAATATGCTTGGCTAAACTTTTTATAAGCACAGGTACCTACTATATATAAAACAGAAACAAAATACGACTGTATAGTGTGTCTTATTAATTATCTATTTTACTTGAATGAACTGCTAGTATCAAAATCATTTTGGTCCGACTGTATAGGGTTGCTACATGCATACTAGTGGCGCCATCATTTAATGTCACGATTTTATAGACAAACTGTACCTAAATTTAAGGTATGCATAATGGCCTGTGCAGACGATAGACTTTTTGTCCACGGAGGACAAAAGTCCCTCAATCTAGAAAAATATGTCAATCGAGGACTTGTTCTCGTGTACTCGGTGTGCGGACATTTAGTTGCCCAAAAATTTTGAAATGCGCACACTATTCGATTGAAAATTGTAATTACTACACAGATTGCGTTGTTGTAATTAACATGAATTTCAAGAAAAATAGAATGGCGTTTTAAAAAAGTATACTGGGTTCATTTCTTTCAATCGGATCGAGCGCGCAAAACGGATTAAAGTTTGCTGTGTGCGTTGCTGTGCCTAGTCACACGATTTATATTTTGGAACGAAGTTCACTTTCGTAGGCTATGGCGGATGGTGGCGAGACAAAAATTTAGCGTCACCACCTAGCGACGCAGCTAGCTATGCAGCTGGGCGGGTAGCTAAATGGGCAGCGAGGTGGGTGACCACTGACGGTGGTGGTTGTGGACTTGGTTTAAAATTTTGTTTGGTGAGTGATGGACCGGGAGTGGACCAGGAGTGTGTGCGATGGACCGGGAGTGTCCGCACTGGGTTCATTACTCACAAGGTTCATTCTACACTGGGCCCATTCCACATTGGGTCAATTCCACACTTGGGCCATTCCGCACTGGGACTATTACGCTAGAGAAATTAACCACTCCGTTTGTTTTTAAGTGGTTTAGAAAATGCTTACTCCTAAAACGGAGTGGTTACTTTCTCTGATCAAATTGGTGCGGCCTAGCACTCAACTAGCGGTCGTGAATCGTAAGCGCGGTGTCGCCTAGCCATAGAATATCCAAACGTACTGGAACTGCTTATCCGTTTACGTTTGGTGGACGCCTATTTCAGGAGGGGGAGGAATGGTCAGCGACGTCGAGCCCACCTGCTAGCCCTCTACCTAGGGGATGAGGCACCATCGCGAGAGGGTAAGAATCCAGGCGTAACAAACGGCGACTCATAACTGGATCCCACCGTTACGCCTGGAGAGTGAGGGGTAGATCGGGCAGAGGTTTTCCTGGTAGGTACGGGAGCAGGTCGGTTGATTAGCCGCTCGGACCGCGGTCCGTGGGATTAGTAAGGAGACGCTGTGTACGGAGAAGCCGAGGATCGGCTGAACCGGGTGCGGGCCGGGCTGCCGGTCGGAGGCAGTGGTATGATGTATTCTTGCGTGAGTACACGTCAAAGTATACCTGCACCGACTAGTTGCCCTCGGGTTGCTCGCCACTGGCCGTATGCACCACGCAATTACCGGCATCGTTAGGGTTTGTTAACAGCGCGGCATTATTCATTGTCGTGGATATAATGCATTTTATCCTGTTTGGCAGTAAGCCGAAAGACGAGTCGGTATCGATCCCTTTCTGAGTTGGTATGTGTCATCATTATCACCCTATTAATGTCCTCCTATGGATGGATTGCAATGGCATAGGGAGATGGGGCCGTGCCCCACTACGTGGGTCCAGTGTGGATTGGTGGGTGCTAACGACTGAAGAAGCACAGAAGAGCTCGAGATAATAAATTTTTGGTCACCCATCCAATAACCAACCACTGCGAAAGTTTCTTAACTTTGACGATCGCAGATCAAACGCGCTATCCACCATCGAGTGCAGCTGATATGTGTGCTATGATGATGCTAATAAGGATAAAATATGTGATTTATAATAAGTTTACAAAATCGAAAAGCAAAAAATATAATACATTTCATTGATTTACATACTAACCAATGGTTGTACTTATTTGTTTCTTAGGTTTTCACGCACATCACTCATTAAATAAAACTAGTTTTAACGGTATAAGTATAGGGACTCGGATAAAAGAACATAGAACATATGAAACATAGGCGCGAAAATAAGTCTGCAGTGCGTAAACGGGTCAGGCCGCCATTTTTTGCTGATTTTGAAAACTGTTTTCTCCGCGGTCAGTATTTTGAAAAGTATTATAGATATCGGATTTTCGATGACGGCTTTGGATTAAGCAACAAAGTGACTCAAGTGGACATTATGATTATTTCAGGTCAGATAATAAACAAAAAATATATTTCGAATGAAATCTGAAAAAAGGTAGTAAAATTACATAAAAACTTCTATCCGCCGAGGTAGAGGTGCACTTTAACTATCGTAGTAGCAAAAAGTATGTCAGTTTTTGAGACATGGCTGATACTATAAGAATACTTATATTAATAGCTATCCGTGCTTTTAATTTAGCAACGTTTAAACTAAGAATTTCTTTGAAAATGATTTCAAATAAGTTTTCGTCAAAAACTGTACTTATACGCCACTTTTGTCAACGCCACCTATTCTCCATGTTCTATTAAACTTTAGGAATCGGTGAAGTTCAAATCGGGAAGTGGCAACACTGAGTTTCTGTAATCTGTGGACAGCGGCTTGATGAGCGGCTAAATTTTTAGCAGTTGACATGTGAACGTCTGGTGTAGTTTGTGTACACAATTTTTTCAAGGTAAGATTTTTGTGCATAAAAAAGTAAGTTTGATTGTTACACGAAAAACAAATAGTGCATCATGTTAGTAGAAGTGAAAGCCATGTTTGAAGCTATAATGCAACTCAAATCATACTTTATTTACAGAGATATAAGAGGTTTTCTCAACGCGACGATAGCGTAGAAGTAGAAATACGCCACCATTTTGGTACTTCAACGCCAACGGTAGCGTAGATATTCGTCACCTCTTCTACGCCACCAAATAAAGGTAGGTATCCACTCGTTTTTATTATACTAACTTTTTACCTGACTGCCGCAGAAAGGAGGGTAATGTTTTTCGAGAGTGTATGTATGTATGTATACTAACTAAACCCATTCGTATAATTTCAGCTTGTATTTCTTAGGCTGCAAGGCATAGATCACGGTAAAATAATGGTCAGTGCATCTGCCCAGATAGCGGAGGGTGCAGTTTCGAGTCCCGTCTGCTGCCTGGACCGCGTGGAATTTTTTTTAGTAAAAATTTTCTTTAGATTTAAAATCTAGCAAATAAATGCTTTAAAAAATAAAAATATAATAAATGTCTAGTTGATTATAAAATTGTTGATGTTTTTATTTACTTAGATATAGGGAACTACTTCTTATTCTAAATTCAACGAGCTGGTCCATTAGTGGGGGTCCATTATTAAATTGTGTTCATTATTAGATGTCCATATTTGGTGCATGTTCATCACTGGATGTCCATTAAATGATTTTCCTTGTCCATTACTAGCTTAAAAAACCGTGTTTATATTTTAATGATATCTCTCATTTTTATGCGGTTATTTCTAACTTTTTCGGCAAAAGCATAAAGGAAAAAAGACGGACATTAAGCTCAACATTGATGTTTAAACAAAATCCTGATATATTAGGAATAATCCTGCAAAAACCCACCTTTTCAACCTTAAAGTGTCCATAATTGGTGCAATTACGTTATACAACATAATTTAATCTTAATATTTTGGCATGTGTATGCCAACCTTAACATTTATTCGTCACTATTATACGCTACTCAATGTCATCGACGCGTAGAAGTTTCTACGCCACCAACACAATACTTCTGCGCCATATCAGCAAAAAATGGCGGCCTGACCCAAACATGCATTAGGGAGACCAAACTATTACATTAGATTTGATAAACCACAGATCCTTGCACCTGAGCAACGATTCATTCCTACAACGATGCGCGAGGCTATTGAGATTAAAAATATCCAAAACAGCTTGGGAACCAATGGGTTCCAAGAGATAAAATCCCAACACACTGCAAGACCAACAGATACTATTAGTTCTTTCTGTTTGCAAGATATAACATAAGAAGGAGAAAGAAAGCCTCTCTGAGTTTGTTTTGCCGGTTCTTCTCAGAAAGGTCTCCCTGGAACCGGTGGTAGTTTACGGTAGTTAGGGTCAAAGAAATAAACTCAAAATTACAAAAAAAGAATTTTAAATTAAGTACTTTAAACTATATTAACTAAAAAATTCATACATAGACAATAAAATTTTAAAAATCTTCCAATGAAATAACCGAACGCTCAATAAAAGTCTTTCGAAGGTAGCTCGACAAAATTAAATTAAAAATCAGTATTCTGACGATGCAGACCTGAAAAGGCTGCGAAACGTCAATAAATAAATAAAGTTTCGTGCATTATCCCATTAAAACTAGTTTTATTTAATCAGTGATGTGCGTGAAAACCTAAGAAACAAATAGTTTTAACGGGTTAATGCACGAACTTTATTTATTGACGTTTCGCAGCCTTTTCAGGTCTGCAGCGTCAAAATAATGATTTTTCATTTATTTTCTCTAGTCTTCACCATGGTTTACCGTTGGGAAAATAAAAAAGAAATTACAGTAAGTGTCAAGTCTGAGGTCCAATGTCAAAAATTGTGTTAGTCAAACAAAAGCATTCAAGTCAGATGAAGTCGATTGGCGATTACAATATTCCGTGCTTTGATTGCTCCATTGTTGTTGGACGTTGTTGGTCGGTGGAGGACGGAACGGCTTTGTGATATGGAGTGAAAGTCGAAGTTCAAATCCAGATCGTGGTTTATGTAAATGTACCTACATTCATTAAGTGAACATACTAATCGTGTATGCTTGTTGTTTGAGACATTATGACGTATCTAGTTTACATGACTGTATTCATGCTTTATTATAGTGATAAAGCGTAAGACTGTAATTCTGTGTTAGTAGTTCCCGGTTATCGGTTTGTACATGTGGTGCTGTGTGTATCGTATTCGCGACTGCAACGATAATATTGACATTTTTATGTAAAAAAATTGGATGACAATGTATCGGTGGAATATATTGGCTCTATTATTAATAGCTCCTAGTTTAATCAACTGTGCAGTAATAGTTAACGATGGTGACATTGATGAACAAGGATTATACAGTAAGTCTGATCATGTCGTTATCTTGACCCAGCGCAATTTTGAAAGGAGGGTTTATGGTCAGAGCCATGCAGCTGTAGTTCAATTCTATAATAGTTATTGTGGGCATTGCAGAGCTTTCGCCCCTAAATTTAAATCACTGGCAGCAGAAATTGTTCCTTGGCGAAATATAATTCAACTAAAAGTAATAGACTGCTCTGTTGAAGAAAATAATGAAATATGTAGAGAATTTGAAGTAATGGCTTATCCTTCCATAAGATATATTCATGAGCATTATGTAAAAGGTAATGGGAATGTTGGTGATAGAATCATAATGACTGATACTGCAGAGAAACTAAAAGCACAGTTGATAAACAAGATGCATACAGAACAATCAATGGGTCGTTTAGCCTTTGCCCCTAAATTTGATATCACTTCTTATGCCACTTATGCTGCTGCACTTAGTGGAGTACCATTTGACACAAGTTATACATTTCTTGTTTTTGAAAATGAAAATTCAACTATTGGGTCTGAACTTGCATTAGACATCAATGATTATAAACAAGTTATAGTAAAAAGAGTATATGACACTTCTGAGTTGGCAGTTGTAGCTGGGTTGACACATTTCCCAGGCCTTGTGGCAGTTCATTCAACTTTAGACACCACCAATTTAACACCAAAAAATACAGCAAAACAAAACCTCCTCAGAGCTGTAAATACATATCTGAAGTCCAAACATTACACATTCCCTGTTAGAGATATTGCTGATCAAGATGTGCTTCCATATGAACATTCTGATGAAAATAATCAACGCACCTCTGATTCAGACACTGTTTACTATAGTGACTTGGAAAAAACTCTAAAAACAAGTTTACACACTGAAATCACTCGACATAAAAGTTTATCAGGTGAAGCACTGAATGCTTTATTGAATTATTTAGATGTTTTAAGGACAACATTCCCTTTCAAAAATAATAATTTAAAAGACTACATTGAAGATTTGTACAACACTCTTCAGTCCAGGAATCAATGGAGTGGTAGCGATATATATGATTTAGTGAAGAGATTAGAGACAGCCCATGCCCCCATATTTAATACGCAATTAGAGTATATTGGTTGCAAAGGAAGTCAATCTAAATATAGAGGATATACATGTGGGCTGTGGACTTTGTTTCACACATTGACAGTTAATGCAGCACAAAAATCTGGCACCAAAGGTCCTAAAGTACTGGCAGCTATGCATGGTTATGTAAAACATTTCTTTGGATGTACAGAATGTTCAGAGCATTTTCAAGCCATGGCTGCAAGAAATAGGCTATTTGATGTAAAAGAAAATGACAAAGCTGTCCTCTGGTTGTGGATTTCACACAATGAAGTCAATTTAAGGTTAGCAGGAGACATAACAGAAGATCCAGAACATCCAAAGATTCAATTTCCAAGTGTATCAAAATGTCCTGAATGTAGACTGGCACGAGGAGCTTGGAACCTTCCAGCTGTATACCAATACTTGCAGAACTTGTATGGTGCAGCAAGCATTCAAGAATACAGGAGAGCACGTTCAGCAGCATCTGCCCCGAGTCCATTCTCCAACCTCGACATTGGAATGTTAAGCCTCCTGTACATATTATCTTTTCTTATTCTTATTCTAGTCATTAAGTATTTCTTTACAAAACGATTTTACAGAAAACGTCATTATAAGCATGGAATGGGTAAAGTATGAGTACATTTTATACAATAACAGTCTTATTAGCATAATTTGTACGTCCTCTGGGTTGAAAATCCATTTATTTATATTTGTGGTCTATGGTATAAACACATTAATTATGGTGACAGAGAAACCTAACTGTTGTATTGGATGTATCTTATCTTCCATTGTGATATGTGTGATACAATTTTTAATTTATTTCTACCATTTGTAATTCATGGAAATTATGAAACACACTATGATTAAACGTATGACGTAAACATCAAATATCCATTTTAAATTTCTCAGTGCCAAAAATTTTTACTCTTGCTGGACAGATGTTTACCATTTTAATTAAAATTTATAACCATGTACCACAAAAGCAACTGCTTTAAAATAACTGTGTTGAACTGCCATAAAGTACAGATTTTTTATTAAGATCATTTGTTAATTTTTTTTTAAACTGAAGTGTGTATTAATACGCCATTCCTATAAATACTCAATTTCCCCAAAACAACAAAATCTGTATGACTTGGTGGCAGCAGCTGGATTCATTTATTTTCATCATGGGTTTAAACTTTATTTTCAACTTTTGCCATTAAGCATAACTTTCATTATTAATTAAAATAACACAGTGTAAGTAACAGAGCAGCTGAAAAATCAACCATAAACTCCTTGTGCACATAATTAAACTCACATACCAATTCCTTATGATTTGTAATAATGTGTTCTTGCATAAATAAAAACAGGAATTCTCAAATTATCTAATTTAATAATAACATAGTATGTTTCTTTTAACATAATTAATAAGCATAACGGCCTGTGCAGATGAAAGACTTCAATCATCAGTGGACTTTTTTTGTCCGCCAAAATAGATCCTTTACAACACGCTTACAACGGATTGAAAGTACCGCATACAAACACCGAAACATTGGACAAGTAAAAGAACACGAGAGTCCCTGAATAAAAAAAATAGAACTCATTTTACTAGGCATAGCAACTCAGCAAGCGTACTATGATCCGAGTTCCGGGCTCTGTCAAATTTTAAGGAATGGACCCAGTATTCTCTTTTAGGATGTCTTCTCCTTTTCTTAAACTTCAAGTTAATTAAACAACGTTATTTCAGATATTTGCTTCCGTAGAGTGCACTCTTCTAAAATTTCGGGCAGCAAATGTTCACACCATGTGCGTTGAGTTCGTGGCAAGTCCTCGGCGGACATTCTTTTAGGATTGAACTTTTTTCCTCCGCTGACTAAAATCTCTCTTCTGCACAGGCCATACGAAAAATTTGTGAATACATGTTCTCAGATTACATTGTGTTGTAATTACCATGAAGTTAAGAAAAAGAGAAAACGTTTTAAATGATAATACTGTGGCCATCTCTTTACATCGGATCGAGCGTGGAACGTACGCGAACTTAAGTTCGTTATGTGTGTTACTGCGCCTAGTCATACGAGTTATATTTTTACGGGGACACCTCCCTACTTGTGTCCAGTCCGGACTCTAAACCCTTTATGCATAAACGAAGACTACGCTTGGATTAGTTTCTCTATGTTTTGTCTCTGTCTATGGAATGACAAATGGCATTTGAGTGACAAGAACAAAACACGGCGTAACTAGTTTAAGCTTATTCCTTCTTTATTAATAAGGGAATAAAAGTATGTCATCTGCGCAAGCCATCATTTATACAAAATGGTATAAAATAGTTATACCATTTAGTGTAATAGAATAAAGCTTTCAGAAAAAAAAAGTTCAAGTCACAGTGCAAACATAAAAATCGTGATTTTTGATAATAATGGAACTTATGTTTTAATGTCAGAATTCGGCCTGTATCACGGTATACACATATATTTAAGCTTCACCGTTATTAATTCAAAATACGTAAACGCTGTAATTTTTGTGTTTTTCGCTCAGAATATATCGCACTTTCGCGACGGTAACACGGTCATGACCAGGATTTTATGTGGAATATGGTTTTGTAACCGAATTCAATCAACAATTCGCAACAAAAGTATCGTCGCACGATATTAATAAATTGTCACACGTGTTCAACTTTCATTATGTCAGGCATACGATTGTTGGATGGTGGGAATGTGCTTAATTTTGCCTTATAAAAAATAGTAATTGATCGAAAAAGAAATATACATTAATAAATTTTCGTAAACGTTAATACGGCTATTACTTACATAGTCAAATTACTAAAACTTATCTTGTAGCTTTCTCATTATAATTTAAATAAAGTCAAAGTGCTTTTTTTATGGTAAAAAGGTTTATTTATAATCTTAAAGATCAAAGAGAAAATGTCAAGTACATTTTCTCTTTACAAGCGACTAATCAACTCTACGATAAACTTCCTCATTTCATATCATAATAATTTTGTTCGTACTAGTCCTCTTTCAAATAAAATCTACATTTTAGATACAGGTCTCCAATTTTTATCAAAACTTAAATTATTTTGTTTGGGTACAATTCGCGCATTTTCCTGTGCTGTGTCAGTGTGTTGCGGTCAATTCAATACCTTAAATTAAGTGCACTGCAATTATGAACCGTAACCCCAGCGTGAACTTTGATAAATTCGTATTGCCAACGGTAAAGTTTCTATAGAAACTAAGGACCGCCCCTACCGGACGTAAGAACAAACTAGCTTTTTCCATAAAAGCTTTGAAGTTGGCGATATGAATACGGATCTGTCAAAGTCGTACTTGGGGTACCTACTGAATATGTAGTTTTAAACTTTCGATTATGTTTTCTCCCTCATATTGTGAATTCGAAGGACAATTTAATCAGACGTCTAAAACATCTCACCATATTATTTTCATCTTTAGTACCTACAGTAACCTACCTTAACTCATAAATAGTACTACTTATTTTTAATAAGTACCTATTGAAATTTGAAAATCTCTCATCAATCAAAACAGACTAAACAAAATCTTTTATTGTCAATTTAGCATAACTGTTATTATTTTTATAGTTTACTAGCTGCCCCAGCGAACTTCGTACCGCCATAAAAAAATAGGGGTTGGTGGTAGAAGGGTAAAAATTTATGGTTGTATGTATTTTTGTATGATATCATAAAAAAATAAAAACATAAAATTTTGTTGAAAAATAAATTTAAGGGTGGGACCACCCTAAACATTTAGGGGGATTTAAAAATAGATGTCCGATTCTCAGACCTACTGAATATGCATATAAAATTTCACGAAAATCGGTCGAGCCGTTTCGGAGTAGTTCAATTACGCATACCGTGACACGAAAATTTTGTATATTAGATTTAACTAAACTCATATTAAATAGACAGCTAGGTAGGATAATCGTTGAATAGGTATGTCGACTCATGCAGTCAAGTAACGAATGACACACAACACAAATCAAACAAATTAATACTCTATTGTTTTTACCTGTTTGTGAAATTATCAAAGGAAAATATAAGCATAATGGTATTAAATAAAACACATGTGTACGGCACTGTTCATAAAGCGAGACAGTAATTTATTTTGTAAAGCAATGTTCCAGATCCTATTAAAGTTCCGTATTTTCATTTTCTAAAATGCGCGTCCATATTATATAACTTACATGTTTTATAAAAACACTTCGACATCTTACATCTTTTATTCACACTTGTATAGCATGTTAAAAATCATTGTTCCTTATATGAACAATGTTTTACCTACACAACATTTTTTTCATATAGTCTGGAGATACTCCGTAAAGTAATTAATCCTGCTAGTCCAGTCAAATTACGGAATCAAATAAACATGAGCGAACACAGTTTGGGGATTTTGAGGATCGTTAGGGGGGTGCATCCTGAGCTTAAGTTCCAATTTGAGGGGCTGTACTGAGGTCAGCTCAAGGTCATTTCGATGCAAACGCGTTTAATTCGATATCTCGAGAAATATCAGTGTTAGCCAAAAAATTATAGAAACCTTTTTTCTTCTAAATGAAATTTATTAACTTTTTTATTTAAAACTTTTTTTTGTAACATCAATATTTTTTAAGTTATTACTCCCGCAAGGCAAAAATTTCATTTTTTCCCCTATTTTTCGTCGTTTTCTCCCCAAACATTCAATTTTATTGAATTTTACCGATCATCAACGTGTATATCTTTTAATTATGCACAATTTTGTTCTTAAACTTTTTTCTGTAACTTCAATACCTTCGGAGTTATATATTATTTTACCGAGCGAAATCCTCGCCACTGTCGCAATATAAAAGGGTAAATCGATTAAACTATTTAAAAATTGGGTATTTAATTTGGGTAAATTTATGGGTTTGTTTGGGTAACAAGTAAATTAACAATTAAAACTGTTTCACACATTTATTGATACAAAAAATAGGTTATAAAATTCGGAAAATTAAGCACCCGAGGTCGAATAACTCCGAAGGTATTGAAGTTACAGAAAAAAGTTTAACAACAAAATTGTGCATAATTAAAAGATATACACGTTGATGATCGGTAAAATTCAATAAAATTGAATGTTTAGGGAGAAAACGACGAAAAATAGGGAAAAAAATGAAATTTTTGCCTTGCGGGAGTAATAACTTAAAAAATATTGATGTTACAAAAAAAAGTTTTAAATAAAAAAGTTAATAAATTTCATTTAGAAGAAAAAAGGTCTCTATAATTTTTTGGCTAACACTGATATTTCTCGAGATATCGAATTAAACGCGTTTGCATCGAAATGACCTTGAGCTGACCTCAGTACAGCCCCTCAAATTGGAACTTAAGCTCAGGATGCACCCCCCTATCGATCCTCAAAATCCCCAAACTGTGCTCGCTCATGTTTTTTTAGCCCTTTTTTTTCCGTAATTTGATTGGACTATGCGCGCGCCAGGGATCATCAGAGATCCGATTTTTTTATGTTAAAATGGTGGCATACAAGGATATGATCCGCCTAATGGTAAGTGGCACCATAGCCTATAGACGATTGCTATATAAAAAAATCAAACGCGCCGTTGCCTACCCAGACTCAATCCCTACCCCGTGGAGCCCTGGAACCTTACTCAGCGACAGAAACACAACACCACGAAAAGGTTATTTTACTGTGGTCTTATACAAGGTTACTTCCTCAGACGGGTTCTCCAATTCGAACGGAAAATCCGCTATGCCCTACCTCTCTTAAAAATAATTTATGTTGTGTATATTATTTTCATAAATAACAGTCGGATATTTAGGCCGCATTTAAATAAACATAAAATAGTGTAGTATTTTTTTTAACCAAAAACCCAATGGTGTTTTTCTTTTATTTTAAATTATATTTTAAAGCGAATAATACTTCGTCAGATCATAAATTCTGTCACATGTTTAATATAAAATAATTGAAACAAGTTTATTCATTATGTAACCATTTATATACCAAAATAAACTGTACAAAACATAGATTCTTATGACAATAAAGTTTATTCAAAATGACCTCCGTGATTTTGAATACAGGCCTTCAATCTATCGTCGCCAGTCGTCTATCGCAGCACGAACGAGGTCCATGTCAATATCGGCGGCTGCCTTAATCAAGGATATCTAGAGCGACTCCAAATTGGGATGAGGCTTTGAGCACGCCTTTTCCTCCAAGTGTTGCCATATCTTGTAATTTAATGGACTCAAATCTGGACTGGAGGAGGGCCAGTCTTCGTGCCGGATGAAGTCGATTTCACGCGCCGCCAGCCAGTCTTGTGTGCTCTTCGCTCTATGAGCTGGCCCCGAATCTTGATGGAATACCCAGTGCCTGTTATTGAACATGGTATGAGAAACAGGTTCCACAAGGTTCGTCAGGACTGTATTTTGATACACAACTGCATTCGTTTTTACACCTTTCTCACAAAAATGTACCTCTGTTAAGCCCCAATAAGGAACTCCCAACCATACCATGAGCGAGGATGCAAAATGACCTCGTTGGACACGCGGAATACGGTTGCTCACTTCTTCACTATTGTGTGCGTACACCTTATCATTTTTTTCGTCCGAAAAAAGAATTTCCCCTTATTTTTTTATTTTTTCCCCGCGTACCGCTTCAACAAAGCGCGGCATCTCTTCAGTCTCAGGTCCATTAGACGAGCATTCAAACGATGTCCTGTTTTTCTTCGACATGCCCGAAGCCCTAAGTCTTCATTTAACACCCTTTTCACCGTGGTTCTACTTAACCCCATCTGAAGGGCCAATAGTTTCTGCTTACGTTTGCTTACGTTTCACAGCTTTTATCACTGCTGGAGTCCTAATAGACCGAGGGCGACCACTTCATGACCTGCCATCTACACTAGAGTCTTCATTGTTTCGTTTGATGGTACGATAAACGAATCTTTTGGTTATATTCAAAATTTTCAGTATGTCAAAAATTTTAATTGGCGCGTAACCGCAACGATGCAACGCAATGACTGCAACACTGCACACTCCATATTTAATAATGAGTAAAATTCTTAAAAGTATACATTTTTATTTTCATGAACAATTCGAAATTCGAATTCAATAAACTTTTTTGTGGCTAGCATTCTAAAAGAAAAGTTTTTACTGTGTGACAATACTTATGATCTGACTGTGTATATATATATACTAGCTGTTGCCCGCGACTTCGTACGCGTGGAATTAGTCATTTTAAGTAGTCTATTGTTTATCCAATCTGATTTTTCTCAGTCTGTTTACGGTTTGTATTTGAGTCAAGTTTTAAGTCTCTTAGTTTACCCAAGGAATAAGATTTTTCATACAACCTTTCATTAAAACCTAAAACCCCTATTTGAAACCCTTCGGGGGGTGAGGGGGGGGGGGGTCCTTTCTTAGTGCACCCTTAGACCGTGTACTGTCATACTTTCAATAAAATTTTTTTTTCAATTTCTTTCAATAAATAAGAGCGACAGGCGGCTAGCAAGCTCCGCCTCCTCGTCTCGCCCGCCGCCGCGCTGCCAGCGTCTTGTCTTGCTTGCATCAAGCGCGCGTGGATTTCCTTAGCAGAGTTATTTTAGAAATGTATTTATTATACTCTTCAAAGATCTTATACTTACAATCATCAACAAATATATTTCGAAAAAGATTATTACAGGATTTTATGTTGATAAAAAACTCTATGGCCCATAACTCATTAATAGGTACCAACTCTTAACACCTTACACACGTGATAACTTTTAAACGAAATGTCCGATTGAGATGAAACAAAAAGTATTTTACTTCTACATAAATACTCTTGATAACATAATGCTTAATTTCGATAAAGATTAATATTACGATACATATTTAACGTTTTTTTTTTCTTCAGACGATTTAATAATTATTTTGAACACAAAATCGGTTATTGTGATTAAATCATGATAGCTAGATATATGTTCTCGCGGAATTTTTTGTAGGTCTTAATGGGATCTACAAACCCATAGTACATCATTTTGTTCTATTGTCAATAGTGTTTGCAGCGCACGCAAAAATAGGTTTTCGATTTTACACCTTGTGTTACAAAATAGCAATTTTATTACGGATCCCTAATTTTGAAAAAAAAATATAAGCCTATAGCCTTCCTCGATAAATATACTACCCAACACTGAAAGAATCATTCAAATCGGACCAGTAGTTCCAGAGATAAGCGCGTTCAAACAAACAAACAAACTGCAGCTTTATAATATTAATATATATTAGTATAGATAAAAAAATATTTTTGCCTTGTTTTACTGCAATAATAAATCTAAATAGATTTTAAATACTTACCTATTAATATTAAATAAAAAAAAAACAATATAAATTAGTCACATTACAATATATATTATATTTACTTATTTTCATATATATTTGTCTCTAATTTATCCTTGTAAAAGGGAATATGGAAAAATATTTCTATTTATTTGCGTCGGTTATAAAAAGAACGGTTTCTTACAGATACGATCCAATTCAGGAAGGTCATTAGCATTATCCATATCACTACCGACCCATCCTTTCCACTTAGTATATCTTTCAATTCCTCTTCCATCCAGCGCAGTATTCCTTAGGATAATGTTTTAACCATATTTATGTTTAAAAAAATAACGTCAATACAGATAATTATATGAAAAAATAAACATAACTAAAACTAAATTGATTTAAATCAAAATTATTCAGTAGAAAAGTGTATTATTGAAACCTAGAAATATAAGAAAAATTACTAAAACCATTAATACATTCCATTTAACGTAGTAATAGGTACCTAACTGCCAAATTTTCGTCAAACGTATTTTCGCAATAAAACGATGCAAATTTTACATCATGTATCTCTATATTCCATTATTTAATCCAATATTTATGAATCATACATGATTTATGCTATTATAAAATACGAACCAGAAAGAAGATTTAAATTTTATTGGAGCATTTTATTCATCCATTTGTCCATTGCATACCAAAATTATATCATGATCTTTTTGGCATAGTGATACTTTATTTTTATATAAAGGACATGGTAAAATTTTGTATGAGAAACTGCCCTAGTAATGTATAAATATTGTACTTAGTAATATTTAATGCTGAATGGATGAATATTTATAATTTCAATGAAAAAAGGCTCGGGAACTTTTGATAAAGGCGCAATCTTGAAACTTATAAAACTCCTTCTACGTCATTACCTTGCTACATTTGATGAAAGATGTTGCTAATTATTTTTAGAGCTATCGATTTCGCATTTTCTTAGAATCTTTCCTCCCTTTCGCTAATTAACACTTCACAAAAAGTATTTTTAAAGCAAAGATTTGTTGTTGGCGGTTAATAGGAAATCTGTGTAGTTTTATTTTGTTCATTTGCAAACATCAATGGATTAATTATTATCATACAGCCCTGTCTAAAGCCTGACGAGAAAAACAAAATCTATTACTTTAGGGTTTAGGCCTTCAGTGATTTGTTATAATAAAAATTAGGGCCAAATATGTCCATAGTTTTTAGGAGTTAGGAATTAATATTGTTTATTTCGATATACCCACACAAATATTTAGGTATTTGTGTATATTTATTTTTTGTAAAACGGAACATTTTCCTTTTCAAGCAGACATGAAGTAATTTTTTATACGTTTAAATATTTGATTATTTCACGGAGAATAAGAAACAAGTAATATGAATAAAAAAATATTATAATGTTACGGGCTCGTGCGAAATAATTACACACGTTAACCTTTAACTATGGACGTTCCATTTTTGTGACACTACTATGGACGTGCGGCCTCACGGACCGC